GTTCATCTGCATTTTGTCTATTGCCTGTTTTAGGACCACGACACCCCTCAATGGCTGTCAGAAGAGGAGAAATTGTGAGTTACTAAGCTGAAAGTCGTCCTGAGACACCCAAATGTGCTGGAAACAGTCAGGGCCTGAAGAACACGCTAAAATATTTAGATCAAGAAGGGAAAGGAAAACATGCTCCACTGTGGTGCTGAAACTCAGCGCTGTCTTAGTGATGAAATGACTCATGTGAGCCCTGTGATGAAAAATGATTGTGACTGACTCATTTCATTCTGACCAAAGGGGGGAAATTGGTTTTAGCTGCAAGGTAAATGCAACACACACACTATGTAGGCCACACAGCATTTAGGAGATAAACACCAACATGATCATTCAGGTGGAAGGAAGTTTAGGGGTTGGGGGGTTGGGTGCTGTATTAGACAGTAGGGTCATGTGACTCTCCTGCTGCTTGTGAGAGCGCGGATAAATACACTTGCAGTTTTTCCCCACGCACAGACTTGATTTGGCCATCCAGATATATCAACACCCAAGTATACATTTGTCTGTTGGCAGTCTCCTCGCCATTATTTTGAGTGTTCAGTGGCTGCAACCTGGCTTACTGTTGTGGCAGTCCTTAATATTACTCTCCAGAGTCTCTCATCCACCCTCATGAACTGTAGCTGCTGGTGGTAATTCTTGTAGGTTATAGCTAGCACCAGCAACAGGTTGCTTGTTCATTGAAGCTAAGAACCACAACAAGGACTACTGTTATTGCATTCACTTCACGCCCATCCGAGCAATGATAAACAACTAGAAAGGATTACTCTTATACCAACTCCTTAAGAAAGCACCCGATCCCACAAACACAATCTAATTCAGTAGGAAATGCTGACGAGGGTATGGCAATGGTGGCGCGTAGGGTGAGTGATATCAAATGAACTGCTGACAGGAAAGGCCCTAACCCCTTTAGCTTCAAGAGATACAATTGTGTGGATGTCACTAAATCAGCAGCCTGCAGATAAATACACACTGTTTAAAAACATGTGGCCTCTGGCAGAAGACAAAAGTTCTGAAGCCACAAACTAGTCAGACTCATGAAGTGTAAAACCAAGAATTACAGAAGCACCAGGAAATACAGAAAGCCTGCCTGCTTTCTGTTCTTTCCGCTGATATTAAAGCTTCTTGATCTTCATTAGCAGCCACAACAGTGCAGCCGACTGCACGGGCTGAATGAAAACAAACTGCTTGGCACAAGTGCAACAGGATTACATACTGCATAATCTACAGAGGGACAGAGAATGCAGAAGGCATTTTCTTCTAGGGAGATGTATCATGAACAAATCTTAACAGTTCTCTTACAAAAAATAAAATTTAAAAATGCAATAGTGTTCTTTTTTTTTGTTAAGCATTCACTTTTACAACATAGCCCTACTTTTGTCAAGCCTAAACGACATCACTATTTAGGCTACGTTCACACTGCAGGCAAAAGCGCATCAAATCCAACCTTTTTTTTTACCCTATGCGACCCATTTCCGATCATGGTATGACAGTGTGAACAGCACAAATCCGATATTTTCAAACCTGACCTGAGTCACTTTCGTATGTGGTACTGAATCCGATATATATCTGATGTTTTAGAAAGCGACTGCTGTTTGAACGGTCATGTCACATTAAATCCGTCTTTTACATCACTGACACAAGACAGACGCCTATTATCAGCGCCGGAGAAGCGCCCGAGAAGACATCGTGGACGCTTCCTGCCATCCAGTGTAGATGTTAGTGAAACTGTTGGGAAGACAACGTTGGAGAAACGTGAACATTTTATTTGTACTGTATAATCTGCAGATTCTGACAGAAATCTGCAACTATCCTTTGAAGCACCGCTCCTCTCTAAAACAGCAATAAGGATAATTATTAGGCCATATGTAAATAACTTTATAACTTAAAAAAAAATTGGGAAACGTAAAGTCCGAATAAAGTCTTTATATTAAAGGGCCATCAGTCAAACAATACTGTGTGGTCTGGGTCTAAACAGAGCGCGTTGTGTGTGACGTCTTCTTTTGCGCATGCGGGCCACTTTGAGGGTTCACACTAGAGCGCGTTTGCTGTCACATTTTATTTGTAGTGTGAACAAGCAGACAAAAAAAAAACAGATTTGATCAAATATCGGAATTGAGCATTAAGACCTGCAGTGTGAACGTAGCCTTAGTTGGATTAGGCTCAGAATGATAGAAAGAGACATTCTTACCTGTTTCCGCTCTACGAGTGCGTTTGTCAACTGGTGGCAGAGACCAGCAACTGTGGCAGGAAAACAGAGGAGTTATGATTAACCACGTGGATTCTGCCAGATCCCATAAATCCACATAACAGATTTCAAACCACTGATACAAAGCTGTGACTGATACCAACAACATTTATATAACCTTGTGTAAAATATATGAACACAAGTAGCGATTCATGACAGCTCAGCTAGAAACGCATACACGAAATGCTTCTGTCTTAACAATCACAAAAACAAATTTAAAAAAAAAACTTGACACAAAACAAGTTCACTGAACAATGAGACTTACAAGTGTCTGTTGCATATCTAATGTGCTCCCCATTGCATGTACTGATGAAGAGCTGGACTTGGGAGAAGAGCGTCTCAAAGTCAGGGATGTTTGGCATGGAGAACTTCACAAATCTGGAGCAAAAGCAGAAGGAAGGAAGGAAGGGGGGTTAGCCAAAACTTAGCATTAGTTTGCCGATTTTTAAAAATCATTTAGAGCTAAAGGGCTGAGTTTTGAGTAAGGAGGGAAATGTATCGATCAGACGCAATGTTGGGTAAGCAGAAGCGAGATTGATTTTGTAAACAGGAAATAATAGCTTTCATTTCTGTGTTATTTATTATCAGTTGTAAAGGCAACAGAAAACCTTTAGCAGTGTCACGTCTGTGCAGGATTTGCTATAGTGCAGAGAATGTGTGGAAATTTTAAAGAAAGGAAACAATTTGAAGAAGTGAGAGAGATTATTCCCTTTCAATAGAACATTATATGCAGGAACTTATTATCTGTCAACTTTTCCTCTCATTTTCCTCTAAATCCTGAGCTGGCTCTGTCATTTTTCCAAGAGACTTCCTCTAAAGAACTACCGCCTCTTCCTCAACCAACACAAAAAGTACAACTTGACCTTCAATAGACACAACATTAGGAGAATATCTTGGCCAAGAACAGCAGAACGAAAGCAGAGTGCAGTGAAACACCAAAATGTAAACTAATTAAAAAAAAATTAATATTAATATTAATAATACTGATAATAATAATAGACCAGTTAGAGGGGAAAAAAACTTTATGAGAAAAATTTCTTGTCATGTGGTAACTGAGACAGAAGAAAGTTATAGTGGAAACTTACAGCACAGCCAGCACACCTAGGGAGTGCTCCTGGATGTCCAGGGCCCCCAGCACCGTGTCCAGGTGGGACAGATTTTTGGCCAGCAGCTCCCCACTTTTGTTGATCAACTCACATAGCTGAGTCATCTGGCCTGGAGGGATGAAGGGAAATTGAGGTCAACATTGAGAAATTTAACCACACTTAACTTTTTGTACCGACCTTTTAAATCTATGGGAAGTCCAAACTAGGGTGTCTTTCTAAAGGCTTAAGGTAACTTGTTTTGCAGGTCTAGGTGCAGATTATATTTTTGACACCAGCCCACCAGATGTAGAATAAAATCAGGTTGTTATGCTGAGATTTAATGTCATCAGGTTTCTATTTCACAAGGTTGTTATTACATGGCAAAGCACACAAGGAGGGCACATGGACAAAAACTTAGCTGGAAACGCTACAAAGACTAGACACAATCAGTATGACCACAACCCCACTACAACTATTATCAGTAAAGTTGTTGTATGTTGATAGGAGAAATAATGCACAGTGATACATTTTCTTTGTTGTTTAATTGGTCAAATTATGGATGAAATAGGAATTTTCTTGTTTACGAATCCAAAGAAGCTATTCTTTATAAACCTAGAAGACACACAGACTCATAAAACTGTGTATAACCGCCGCCGCGCTGCGGATGGGCATTTCAATTGAAATCGGCTGGCCAAGTGTCCTGTCAAGGCCTTGCAACAGAGGTAATGCGAGCAGGATTGACAGATGACTTCGAGCCAATAATATTTGCCAATTCAGTCCGCTAGCCAATTATATGAGGCTAGGGCGGGACTACCGGTAGGCAGTCCCCAGAAATTATTTTCTAGATCAAAAACAAAAAGTATAATTTTCACATCTAGTTTGATGACATGCACGTTATGCAGTTATCCTTCGGGTCCTTGTGTAATACCGCATCTTCTCGTGGTAGTTTACATAGGAACTACAGCGACATAAGGTCGTTTTAGCGATGTGTTTACATGATAAAGCAAAAAGAAGCCTCTGACCAGTTTGACTGCCTAGCTATCGGCAAGGCATTGGATAGCATATGCTAGCTAACTAGCTAATACTTCAGACTCTAATGAGTTTATCAACCCTACCTTGAGCGGAGAGCTGCCGCACATTGTTCACAAACTGCTCCAAGGCTGAAGCCATTATTTCCTGGGTCCAACGTGGAGGTAATTTGCACTGTATTTCATTCAAACGTCAGAAACAACTCCGTCCGGACTAAGACAGGGGGCCACACAGCCGCCACTGAGGTGAGGCTATCGCGAGATCGTAAGAACAGAACAGACCGCAAGGAGGTTTAGAGAACCGACCGTTGAATTCTTAAAGGGCCAGCTACCAGATTTGCTGGTAGTATTGAAACACACTTGCTTTTATATATCTATCTATATCTATATATAGATATATATCTATATATAGATATATATTGCGCGAGTGTGTGTTTATTTAAAATGGACTTCAACTTCTCTCTTTGAGGACTAGGAAATAAAGGAAGTGACGTACATACCGGGGTTAACGTAGATGTTTTATGGTAAGACCTCTTGTCTAACTACTTTTACAGGACTACTATAGTGCTGCTCCTTTGGGGAAACGAAAATATGATGACATTGATACATTGATAAATATGATTGAATTTATATATGATTTGAATCAAGTTTTTGTTTAAAATTGAATAAATTTGATATCTTTAAATACCAGTAACCAGTTAAGTTTTGGTCTTAGACTTAGACTTAGATGGTCTGCCTCCAGCATCCTCTCTCTCTCTCTCTCTCTCTCTCACACACACACACACATACACACACACACACACACACACAAACGTATTTCATGCACAAGTGATGGATCTCTGGAAGCTCCCCTGTCTGATGCTAAATGTTTTGCCCCTTTCCTATCCATCATTCAGAATAAGCTGTCACATTTGGGCATAAAGAGATGACTGTGCATAAATTGCAATGAACCTAACTAACGACAGTTCTTTAGCCAATAAATAATCACACACGTTGCGTGTATGATTATTGTTGTGGTAAAACCTTCGTATTGTTGTAAAATTTTATATTTTTCACTGTACATGGCTCCTGAAAACAGCTGAGGAGTGAACCATCTTGGTCATGTGAGATCTTTTTTGCGCACGGGCTCGTAGTACAGTTTGTTCTTACAGCTGAGCGCTTCTCCCTTTGGTGCAGCAGCTCCAGTTGTTTACTTCTCGTTTCACCTCAGACAGCTCTAACAGCATATGTTGTTTATCTCATATGCTGTGGAATTTTAGAAAGGCATGCCTTGGATGCCGGGCGGCTAATACACACTGACAAACGATACAAAGAGCTCCCGGCAACTGTGACCGCCACAGGCAGGTCACAGTTGAACTGCCCGTTGCGGCTGCTGTGGTGCTAGCCTGTCAGCTAGCCAGCGTCTGTTAGCTCAACTGCCGCTCAGAATGTGAAAAGTTGGACAAAAATTCACAAGGGGCAAATAACAGTGTCGAAAACGAGTACTGAAAGGGGTTTAGCTCCAGTGTCTGGAATTATTTTTGTTTGTGTAAGTCCCATGCCGACTTTACAAGCTGTTTCTGCTGACTGTTTGGAGAGGGCAGAGACCGAGGGCGTGAAAAATGTTGCTGCTTAGTGCAACACGCCTACTAGGAAGAGGGAAAACTTTGCTCCGAGATCCCATTAAGAGGATTTGCGCAAACATGTCGTTCATCTCTCGTTCCGGGAAGAGACTGCGGGTCCTGGTGGACATGGACGGAGTCCTGGCGGACTTCGAGGGGGGTTTCCTGAAGAAGTATCGGGCCAGGTACCCGACGGAGCCCTACATCACCCTGGAGGACAGGAGAGGGTTTTGGGTGTCAACGCAGTACGGGCAGCTGAGGAGTGACCTTTGTGTGAGTGACAGCAGCACTAAATATAGTGGCTGAAATTCAACTTAGGCTTTCTCGATTTGGGTTTTTTTATTTTTATTTTTTACAAGTTTTAATTCAAAAGATTGTCTGTCTCATTTACATATGGTTAACAGTCAAGTTTCTGACTGCTCTGGACTGGGACCTTTTCAATAGGGTGGTACAGGAGTATTTATGGAAGAGGATTATGGCCACTGGGAAAAATGTATTTTTTTGTCAGAATTCTGAAAAACAAAAAACAAAAGATGCCCCCACTTTTTCAGTACCTTCTAATCTTCTTAGTAAGTATTGGACTATTGCATTGCAATATTTTCATCCAGAATACAGTGAAAATTAGAAGAAAGTAGCATAATATGAATGGACATTAAATGCTGGAATTTTTACAGTGGAAGCAGAATAATCACATGTACTACATTGCTACTACTGGTCTCGTGCATGATTTAGACTTCTGCGGCAAATCTACATCATAGTATAACTGGAACTGCAAATACCTTTAAATGTTTCTGGTTAAAAAGAAACAATAAATAGTTTAATCGTACTCCACAACCTTCCACGTAACCCGAGAAATGTAACTACATGTCGGGTCAGACTATATGGCATGGAAGGTTATGGCATAGGAATTTACAGTTACAGTGTAGATTAGTCTAAATCAGGCATTATCCTTGCTCTCATCCCATGGCTCTGGGGATTGTGAGATTAACAGCGCTCTAGCTCAGTAGCATTAATTAGGATTGGGGGACTTTTAAGGGGCTGGTGTCACCCCCGCTTCATGTGTAGACACAGCCATGGATGCGCATTCTTGAATTGGTTTGTGTGGATGAATGACACAACCTCGATTTCCTTGTGGTTCACTGTAATGTGAAGTGTTGAGCAGTTCACTCACTACTCCATTTGATTATGTGTTTCCTTCAGTGTCTTAATTCACCTACTCCAAGCAAGAAGCAAAGTGCTACCTTGTAATCATGTCCACAGAAGTTGGCCTTTTGGACTTTACTTCTTCAGGGCTCATGAAGACTCAAGTGGATACACATACTGTACATGCACCTGATTAATTTACACGGTTGCAGATAAGCTGTATGCATGTGTTTTGTTTCCTTTTTTTAAACTCCAGGAAAAAGCTATCAGCATCTGGGAGTCCAAAGGTTTCTTCATAGACTTGGACCCGCTACCAGGAGGAGTGGAGGCGGTCAAGGAGATGGCCGAGATGAATGAGTAGGTCTTGGAAGTTGCAGTGCATTTATCTCACATACACAAAAGAGACTGAGAGGAGTTCTTGTTGTATCACAAGTGGCTTAAATCACCATAATGGGAGAAGAATGTGCATGATTAGATATTTGCATGTAGCACTTTGATCAGAAGGGAGGTGGGGGAAATGGTGTTCTGAGTTAATATGTATTTAACTTTGCAAAATAATGCCAGGCTCTGTGGTTTGTTTATCATTTTCCACACAGTTTCACCCTGTTTAGTTCACTTTATCTGACTTCCTCCACAGTCTCTACATTTAGCTGGCTGCATTTTAAGGCTCTGTTTTCATACAAAAGCCCCGCAAAGCAGCAATGGCCTGCTCAGCCCAGTTTACAAGAAAAGCTGGGAGGCGGGAAGCCTGAAATGAGTGACTGTGCTCCTAAACACATCAGCAAAGTGTTTACCTGGGACAGGTCAGAGGGCTGTTTTCCCATAGACTTTTATAAGACCAGGTGTTCTTTACACCTGCACCTATCCCCCCCTGATGGTCATTAAAAAGAAAGCATGTTTAAGACACTTGGCATTGGCGTCCTTTTTAGGCCCAGAAGCTACAGTGTTATGTAAAAGCCATGCGCCACCATTTCTTCACACTCTCCTATGAAAATGGGAAATGGGTGCCGCAACAAAGGAACGGTGAAAATTGAGCTACTGGGCAGAAGGAAAAGGGGAACACACACAGAAGATTTATCAATGTAGTGAAGGAGGACATGTAGAGGGTTGGTGTGACAGAAAAGGATGCCACAGGTTGGGTTAGACAGGGAACGCTTAAAGAGAGCTGAGGGAAGAATCACAGTATATAACAGTATACAGTATATAATGAGCTTGAAAGTCAATATTTGGTATGACCGCCTTTGTTCTTCAATACAGCCAGTGTTGTGTGCTTTTTGTGTTCATAATTCCACCAATTTTGACAACATCCCCAACTTTACTGGTTAAAATAGAGCCCCAAACCATGACAGAGCCTCCACCATGTTTTATAGGCAGCTGTAGAGACTGACGATCTGAACAAAAAAAAAGAAATTTGGATTCATCACTCCATCAGACCTGTCGCCACTGATTTTCAGTCTACTTCTTATGTAGTTTGGGATACGTCAGCCTTTTCTCTCTGTTTCCCTTTCTTAAGCACAGGTTCTTGACAGTCATCCTTCCACTGACACAATTTCTGACAAGGCTTTATCGAACAGTAGATCAACTCAAGATACATCTCTCTGATCTGTTTTCAGCTCTTTGCTTGATTCTTTTTTTCCCTAGTTCTTAAAGATATGATTTTCAGATACTGTTCATCTCCTGTTCTTCTTTTGTCATTCACCTGTTCAATTTCCTCTAATTCTTAAGAACACACTCCACACCATGCTGAAATAAGGCAAGTTTTTGGCTAATAGCTCTTTGTCAATCACCTTTTGGTGACAAAAAATAATGTTTTATGCTTGTTAAGCTGAGCAATCTTTTTCTAAGATTCAACTGACTTTACTGCACTTTTCTTAGCTTCCACGGAACCAAATACAAATTAGGATTGGCTCAAGACTTTTGCACAATACTGTAGATCCATCTTTTATTCTGTCTGTGATTTTTGAGACGGATTGTGAACGCCTCCTTTTGATGGAGGTTTTTTCTGTTTTGTCTGAACCTGACCAAATGAATCAAGTCAGAAAGCCCCTGTTGCTCATTCCAGTCACTCACAAAAGCCAGCAAGACTAGATTCTATAATATACACGTAAATTTGATATTTATGTTTGGAGCACATTTTATATATTTTTTACACACATTAAAACAGTGATTGTGTTTTGGGTCCTCAACGCTGCCAAAACAGAGACAACTTGCCACTCAGGGCTGTGCCTGAAGGCATCAAGCGTCGAGGCTGCCGTAAAGCCTCCTAGGCCTGGCATCAGTAGTGAATGTGATGGTCTGTTTGTCTGTCTTCTCTGTATGATCTATTTGTGCTCTGCAGTCAGTGACAGCAGCAGGCCATAGGGACAATTACAGACATCTGGCCTCCATGTTGTGTCACCACACAGCCTGTCTTTGTGCACGCCAGCACCACGCTGTTCTCCCGTTCACTCAGCCTCACGACTCAGATGGCCCCATGCTGTGATATTTTCAGTATTTTTCCCCCCCATCTTTCTAATAAATGATTTAAAAAACATCACCCCGAGTCTTACTCGGGGACGGTCGCGTGTAGTTTTTGATGATATTTTAATAAGTGTGATCTGAATCAGCCTGACACAGACTGTGACTACTTTTTTATTTTTTCTGGGATTATTCTCAGAGGAGAATGCACGTGAATAACATCTAAAAATACCAAAAGTTATGAACTTCGCTTACATTTCTTCTGCTGCTAAAAATGAATGGCTTTCTTTAGCCACCAGTGCCTGAATGTGCACGTTCTCCCATCAGGGTAATGCACCATACACATGATTTCATGTTTACTGGGAACCTTCCCCACATGAATTCCTGTCATAAAAGTTCAGGCCTAAGCAGCTGGAAGGTAAACATAATACTGTGTGTTTGTAACTTTTCCACTCTGGTCTGTTTGTTTCCCTTTGTTTCTGCAGCACAGATGTCTTTATTTGCACCAGCCCTATAAAACATTACAAACACTGCCCACATGAGAAGGTAGGCCTACTGCAAATCAATAACAAATATCCATTTCTCTGTGGAAATGATTAATGTGTTCCACTCTTTGCTGATGAGATCTCATCTGCTGTGTGTGTGTGTGTTTTTGTCTAGTATGCCTGGGTGGAGAAGCATCTGGGCCGTGACTTCCTGGAACAAGTCATTCTGACCCGAGACAAGACGTTAATCACCGGCGACCTCCTGATAGACGACAAACCCGACATTCTAGGTGAGGCCTCCGTGGAACTTTGTGTGGGTGCACTTTTGTGTGTATCATGATTCTTTTATTTTAATATTAATGCTCTAACAATCTTTTTAGGTTATTTTTGGTCTGTGAAGCAAACTGCTCCGGTTTAGCCTCTATGGCTTTCATGAAAAACCAACATTTTTGAACAATAAGTTTAGCTAAACAAAAACAAAAAGCATTCAAACTACTTATTTTTAGCTTGCTTCATTTCATTTTGCAAATTTCAGTAGAGCGCTGCAATCGCAGTGCATTCTGGGTAGTCAAGGCCATGTTGTCGTTCATAAAAATAAAAATAGATGCTAACAAATAATGAGGGGAAAACGCACTAATGCCCACTGAAAAAGCACCTAAATGACCTATGAGAAGATCAACAGCACAATAGGATACAACAAGATGCTAAACAACAAGGTTAAGGAGTGTTATTTGATCCATCCATCCATCTTCCTCCACTTGTCCAGTTCAAGGTCTCAGGGAAGTCTTTCCCTGCTGCCATAGGATAAGAAACACAGTACGCACTGGACAGGTCGCCAGTCCGATTCAGGGCTAACATAGAGAGACAACCATTTGTACTCACATTCATACCTATGGGCAACTAAGAATCCCCAATTAGTCTGAAGCTGAAGTACCTGTAGAGAATCCACGCAAGCATGAGTGATGGTGGATTTGGATCCAGGATAATCTTCCTGAACTTGAATATGGGAACACAAAGAATGGTAGTCTTGAGAGCTGAAAAGAAGCCAACTAGACTTCTTTAGGTTTTGAAGACATTTCACGTCTCATCCAAGCAGCTTCTTCAGTTCTAGAATAATTGGTAGCAAACTCTTCCAGTAAAGGTGGTCTTGAGGATTGTTAACCCACTCTTAGTTATGTGAGATATTATATGAGCCAACAGATGACAGAGGAAACCTCTGTTAGACGTTACCCCACCCCACTGTCATGTGAGCGATTGAGGTCACCTAAGGCAAGGTGTGAGTGGTTGAAACACATGGGAAAAGAACTCGGGAGCATATGTGGCTGATAGCTGGTGCCATAAGCCACCGCCTCTGTTCAATGACAGCTGTTTACAGCGGGTCTAGATGGCCTCCTTTATTCCTCTCTTAAACCCTTTCTTCGTCCAAAATGTGAACATTGATGTCCTCAAAAGACAGTCCTTCCTTGTTTTCCTAGTCCTAAAATCCTTTCCCAGGTGTTTTCATGCGCTGACTTTTACAGGTGAGCCGAGACTATACCACTGAAGGTCATTGATAATGCTAGCTGGGTTTCCACACAAAGCGCAGATCATAACTGATCTCTGAGCCGTGAAAGCAGTGCCTGCAGCTTACCTCACGCACTGCTCTCTCATCAGTTTACCATGAAAAAATTTGTACTTACCCATCTAGATTTTGTTGGGACTTAAAATCCGGGGCTAAGCCAAGTTGGTTGGCCAACATAGGCAGTTGTCTGTAGCCTTTTGGAGGATATTTCATAAAGGTGACAGATAATGATGGTTGTGTGCAACAGCCCATCCAAGAAGTTTGTATTCCAGGTCCAGTAAAATTCAAGCATTTTATTAGTCTGTGATGTAGTGTTTAAATTAGCAGGTGTCGGAGGATGCAGCTTGGTAAAGAAACCAGTGTTAGCTGAGTCTAAATCTAAGCCAAAAACATGGCAACACTGGTGCTATAAAATGTAGACTCCAAAACGAAGTGATGAATGAACATTATGTTGCCATTGTTCATTTTCTATACACAGTTTATGCTTTGCCCCCTGTCATGCTAAAGGTGGCAGCAGTAATATTGCATTAGATTGCTAGAATGAAATGTTTTCACACCTGATTACATTTTTATTCAAATTGTAACCATCATGCTAAAACAGCTGCAGCTTTCCAAATGTGCACATGCTTTGGTGTGACGGTCAGTTTTTCATTACTTTTTTTTTTTATCAAAAGAACACATTTGTACATTAGTCATTTTTTTCAAACAGAGTTCCAGAGTGCAAAGATTTTTTTACGTAATAATGTGCAGATACACACTAATGTCTGATGCTGGCTGTGAGTGCGGATTTGCCTAAATAAAATAAAAAAAATCTTGAAATGCTGCGTATTTAACTTATGAGTAGATCTCAAAGTTAGTCGGCTTGAGTTGTGTAAATTATTGCTGCCGCAGTTAATTCAGTAGGAAAGTACAGTAGTTCTCTGATCTGAGCAGATCAGGGATGATAACTATTATTTTTAAATCACTGAAAGAACAAGAACAAATGAAGAACAAAGCAAAATCTTTAAAGAGGACTTTTGCATCATAATGTTTGTGAAACTCGGTGTGGGTGTTATAATTATTTGCATCCATTTTCAATGCTTTGATTGCCTCATGAGGCAGCTGCTGCAGCGTTCCTACGGTCTGTCAGGACAATTTATATCCTTCACACACTTAAATACAGGGAGCTGCTACTTAAATAATGTTTATATTTCTGTGACTTGGACAGGTGTGGAGCCAAATCCAGCGTGGGAGCACATCCTGTTCACTGCCTGCCACAACAAGCACCTGCCCCTCAGCCTCCCCCAGAGACGACTCCTGTCATGGTCAGATGATTGGAGGGCCATCCTGGACAGCAAAAGGCAGTGAGGAGCTCCTGCACGGCTCAGCCCCACAGCAGCCTGGCATCAGGGTTAGTGGAAGTTCTGGGGCTCGCTGCTGTTGCCTTGGCATCCTTGTTCTCCACTAAGTAGGGTGTGGAGACTTAAGCGGGATGAGCAGTTTACGTTTCAGGTTGAATGGAAGTGCTGTACAAGCAGATTGTTGATCCAGTCTTTTGGAAGAGGATGTTCACTTGCTCGACCACAAGGGGGCACTCTGACACTTTGTATGAATTTGTGTTGGCGACCAGATTTTGAACAATCTCACTGAATGAGAACAACAAAAGGAGTTCTTAAAACGATACATGGTAAGTGGAAAGGACAGATTGTGTTGAGTGACCTCGACGGTTATGGACTCAGTTTGCATTCTGGATGTTTCTCAGATTCAGACAAAATGGATTTCTGAGCCACTGCATGGTCTATCTGTGGCCTTCATCGCAAAAGGCTTATCAATATTTAACTGCACCGTGTTGCACTCGTGAGTCAGTGTGATGTGATTCACAACAGGGCACTCCGCTGCACCCAAAAAAGCTCAAAAATACACCCTGAGTCGTGGGCACTGGCGAACACAGAAACACAGGACAGTGACTTGGAGTCAAAATTACTGTTTTATTAGGTTGTCATTATTTTGCATGTATTGTGTAGGTATGTGCCATGCCACTGTTATGTAAATGCAAAAGTACTGTGAAATCCACTCTGGTTTTTAAAAAGCTTAAAAGCCTACATGGGTGCTCTTTGTTTACAATATGTAATTGTTCAATATTTCACTGATACACAAATGAGAAAAGTAGCTGCACACGTGCATCTTGCCAAACATTGCTAGTGTAGATTGTTGTAGGCACTGAAGACTGAGTAACATTGGTTCAGTGTTGGTTAATAATGAACCATTATTCAATATTAATATATCACTGACAAGTCCATATGTTATTCAAAATTGTGGTAGGGTAGCTTTGCATGATTCAGTTCATAATAATCATTATTTCGTTTACATTGGACCCTTCTGCCACCTCGCAAGTTCAACGTTGGTCATAGACAAGCCATACCCCCCCCCTTCCCTCCCAAAGCTAACTTTGTTCTGATTGGCTATCCCTCACAAACAGGAGTTTGCATCGGGTGTATGGAGAATTCTGTAGGGGCTATTTGTGCACACATTGGCCTCATTATTTGAAACTTTGCCCATGTTTAATATAAACATCCACAATTGCAACAGCATGGATATGACAGAATGCAGAATAAGGAAAAGTGGAAATCTATAGGAGCGGCAACAGTAATCACTATGTTTTATAAGTGGTATGTCACCATTCTGTTCATATTTTTAGAGCCGGGGTGTCCAATCCAGTCCTTCAGAGCTACTGTCCTGCAGCTTTTACATGCAACCCTACTCAAAGACAGCTGAATCAAATGACTGGATTACCTCTTCAGCACACTATCAAGTTTGGCAAAGGCCTGATAACAAGCCATTCATTTGATTCAGGTGTGTCAGAACAAGGATGCATCTAAAAGCTGCAGGACGGTACCTTTTGAGGACTGGCGTTGGACACCCCTGTTTTAGAGCTTGTTTTCAGAAGCATGGCGCGCAAGATTTAAGTTGTAGAAAATGTTTTAATAATCCAAAAATAAAGTTTTTATTTCAGCTTGTCATTAATTACTTGAAAACTTAACTTGTATTAATTTTTAGAAATTATATTTTTATTATATTTTTTAGCATTTATAAAATGTATAAAATCACCACTTTCTCAGTGTCACTGTCCTGCTTCACTCATTTAAAGGGGACCTTTGTATACTCGTTTACAGTTTTATTCACCAACTCTACTAGAATATGTCTGAATATGATTCACAGTTAAAAATACCTAACCTTGGTGCGGCACCTAATTTCATACGTTCTCTGAGGGAAACGTGCCAATTTCCTGTGTGCCTGCAATATTTGCACTCTCTGACATCATACAGAGCAAAGAGTTGGGAAAAAAGTACCTGAAATGGAGTGTTTAGTGCATTCTCGCTTTTTCTTACTTGCACCAATGCTAACCTCATTGGAAACTTGATGCTTTTAACATGAACACCCATCAGAGTAACAGCACCTGTAGCTAGCAAAGCAGTAATAGGTCCCCTTTAGGATGCACAGACGGTATGTAGATGCTGGGATAAAATGCTTTTTAATTTCTTCTGGTATATTTTTCAGGGACCTACGCAGTAGATGCTAATTATGTGTAATGAAAGATGTATGTAGTGCTGAGTGCTTGTCTTTTTGTGACTAGCTTATACATATTCAAATGTCAGTTCAATCCAAATGCAAATGTTTGTTTCTGCCAGTGAAATGTTTAGATCCACCTCTATTAAAACCCATGCAAAAAAACAATAACTTGATGACTTGGACATCTTCTTTCATTTAACAGTGCCATTAAAAGTTTCATTGGGTTTGGTTGTTTTTATATTTTTTTCATTAAAATGCATGCTGCTTAGTCACATGAAAGCATAGATAACTTCCTGCCAAAGTCTGGAAACATGCCCACACTCGTGGTTTGACATTCTGGCACTTTTGGGGGGAGGTTTAACTAAACATGAAGAACGCTCCTCTTTGTGCTCTTTGTTGTAGTTGCTCTCTGCACTGATCATATCAGTTGAGGAAAAAACCTCAAGAAGCTGATGAAATGATTTGTACAGATGGAAGCGTTTAATTTTCTTGAGCTCAAAAAGAAGGCAGCTGGACTTCTTTAGATTTTTGAAGATGTCACGCTTCGCATCTAAGAGGTTTCTGCAGTTCTTGCCCAGGCTGTCATGACCTGGATGACAAAGAACCTACACAGACAGCTGTTAATTTGATTAAACTCACTGCTACGAAGCCCAACAATTCATTTAACTTTTGTTCACATAGCACCAATTCAGTCGCCTCACTTTATATTGAAAGGTAAAGACTCTTCAAAATTAGAGAGAAAACACCCACAATAAGATGATTTCACATGAGTGAGCACTTGGTGACAGTGGAAAGGAAGAACTCCCTTTTAACAGGAAGAACTTTGGACATCTCTGTTGGCATCTCAGATGTTGGGATTACATTTCACTAAAGAAAGTAATGACATTCTGTTCACAGATTTAGATGTGAACAGGTTATGTAAATCTATTGCCCTGGAGCCAGTGTGCAGACTAGAAGGGAGCTTGGGCGAGCGTTGCTGCTCAAGAGCATAATTTGCAATGGTTTTTGTTTTCATGCATCATGCTCAAATCATCAGTAAAGCATTCTGAAAAAGTGGCTGCCTCACCGTCTCTGTTCAGTGCATACTTTATATCAGATTTCTCATTATGATTTTTCATGTTCTTCCAATAAATCCACAGCGAATGGAGCACATTAGGGTCAGCAGATGACATAAGCGTCATGAGCAGCTGGCTTTTCCACAAAACGTCACAGTTGGAGGAAGATTATCAACAAAAGCAGCTTTTATGTCAGAATTGTACTCATTGTGGTCTTCAATAAACATTGCCTGCTTTCAAAACGTATCTTCTCTGATTGATGTGAGATCAAGGGAAACGAAAAAGACACTTGAGTAAGAAAATCAAGCTAAGAAAGAAGTGTTTTGATCAGAAAATGGTACAAAGAAACGGTGTAAAAGCCTTGTGAGCAAAGAGAAGAAAGACTTCTTTAAAAAAAAACTGGGCTTGATGGCATGAGTCCTCTGTTCTTGTATAATATTATTGATATAGGTTGTTTCTATTCCTGCATCAACTTATTTTATTCAACTTAACTTTTAATTTTGCTTCTGTTATTCATGGGTTAAGAGGAAACTGACTTATTATTTATATTGGGCCTAAAAATGAGGGCTGGGATTGCTTTAAAGGTTATTTTTCCAAGTCTATATTTTTGGGGGGAAATAGCAGTGTCAGCATAAAATCATTGACCCCAGCCTGTTTGTGTTTCCTGTCAATACTTCCGTCTACAGTCAAGTAGGTCAGCTGTCTCCCAGCTGCTGGAGGAACCTTTCTGTGCTTTTCGTTCGATGCGATTGCCTTCATGGCCAAGTTGCTGTTAAAACAAACGTGTGTGACAGCAAAAAGCCTTTGCATACATGCTTTGTGTGTGTTGGATCCGTGCCAGCGTCTTTTTTCTTAATTGTGAATGAATTTTTCATGTTTGTGGAGCTAAACATTTTTCCCCATTGGCAGGCTCATAATTTCATGGGAGTAGGAAAAAAAATCCCTGTGACTCCATTGACGTTTCTATAATGTTGTTGTTCTATAGTATTATTTTGTTTTTATTTCTGGTTTTATTTTCAAGCACTTTTTTATCTGTCAAAAGTGCACTAGAAATAAATCTTCTATTTTACTTCTTCTGTTTCAGTTTTATCGTAGTTGGTCTCAAAGGTGATGTTTAACCACTTGTGTTGATGTTTCAATCAGACAGTGACTGGTGCTGTATTTTTCAGTTTTTTCAGTATAATATTTGATCATTTTAAACAAATGTTTTCTTGTATTTCAGATATGGACTGGATGAATATATCCCTTTGCAAAGAACTGTTTTCGCAGCATTTTCCTACATAAGGGGACTGTTTTTATTGCCAGTATTTGATGAACATTTTGAGCTTTCCAAAACTAGAGCTTATGTAATATAATCGGATAATGATGGCAGTTCATTTTAAAATCTGGCTGGTGATTAACCATAATTTTGTTTTTGGCAGAGCTTGCAAACGTAGCTGTCTTTCTGGCCGAGGTATAAAAAAAATGTTAAAAATCACACGCATTTCGGTGACTTTTTCCCCCCACAATTATCCAGTCTGCCTCACTGTGGTGTGTAAGGACACAAGGTCATAGATGACTCACAGAAACCAGAAATCCAAGGACATATTGCTATAAAGCTTCTGTCATTTCCCAACTTCATTTAATGCTTGTTGCATTAGCACTGGGTCCACAGGAAACTCATCCTGTTGTGTGGATTTATGCTGCATAAAACCAAATTTCATTCCACTAAGGTGTCTCAGGCTTTTCATGTAAATCTCATTTTATAGCCACTCATCACTTTTTACTGTTATTATTATTTTTTACCTTTTCATTCAGTCAGATTGATGCTGTTTGTCCTTTGCTGAGTGAGGCTATAAATGTGAGTGCACTGTAAGTGTAGGAACAGTGGAGGTGTTTAGAGTGTTTGTGGAGGGGGTGGAAGTGAATTGGAAGTCTTTTGGGAACATTTCTGGTTTATTTCATGTCAGCAAGATGCTAAAAAACAACAGAAAAAACAGCAAAATACAAAATACAAGGTGAACACATTGACTGGTGAAGCTTAGCGTTTTAGCATACTGTGTGTAAAATCATTGGCAATCTAAAATGTTATTGAGTGACATATCTGTGTGATTACAAAACAAGCGTGCGTCCGTTGGCGTCATCACACCAAAAATATATCAGGCCTCACATGTAACTTCTCACTCATGGTAGGCCTTCAAATGCAATGAAACGTCAGTGAAAAAAGACAAACAACAGTGGAAATCAGTCACGATTAGATTCTCTGGATTTGGGTCTACATGGAAACTGAAAGGTTGTCAGTCAGAACACTTTCATCCATAATATCAGCTCACGGGACACCAGTGTTTGCTCTCTGGCGTAACAACAAGGTCCACTGACAGGCATATTTCTTCTGAATGTGTCATTTTACCTGGAGGCAAAACAGTGTGTTGGTCTAGGTTTCATGACGATTGGCTTTGGCCCACATTTCCTTTGCAGTTACCACAATATTGTCTGTCTTTTTTTTTAATATCATAAAAAGTTTATGTACCTTGCACTCCAAGTATGACAGGGCATTTTTTTTAAACATAGATGAGGGCAAAATTTGCCAGTGATGTCCAATGTGCTCTTTATCTTGGTAAATAATAAAAAAAAACCTTGCTGACATTGCTCTACCTGATACTAAGTAGATGCATAAAGATACTCTGCAGGAGGCTGACTCGTGCTGTCATATAATCTGCTGGCTGCTGCTTTTTACGGCTGATTTCCCCACACTGCTTTATAATCACATTGCTTATGTTCTACACAAACAGTGTAATATGATCTACACTGGAATTGGTAATTTGTGATAATTTATGCAGGTGTTTTCACAACCTCTGCCATGTTGTAGTCACTGAGTTAGTGGGTTTAACAATGTTTTTTAATGTATGATTATTAAATAATGGCAATGCAATGTAAAATAAATGACACAGATTAGGCCCTTAGAGCTACAGTGAAAAGGAGGATCATTTGGGGAGGACTCAGACTACAGCTTGCTATTCCTCCACATTGAAATTGGAGCATCTGACTAGGATGCATTGGGCATGTCCCTGGGGCAGATCCAGGATACAATGAAGAGATTATGCCTCCTGGCTGGCTGTCTTCTCAGAATAGCTGGAAGAGGTGGCCAAAGTGTGGGAGGGAATCTCTGATGTCAATGCTGCTTCTGCAACCTGGACCTGAATGCTCAGAGGATGGATGGATAGACGGATGGGATGTGGTATCTTTGAAGTTTAATGAACAGGAGCTGGAATAATGTTATTAGAGTGAAGTTGTGTTACATTTATTTTCCTAAGGAGGATTAAAAAAAGAATAATTTTGAAAAGAGAACTTAAAACAATGCTGGTGTGGTTTACCTCCTAACTGGTTTGACAACTCTTCATCCTTATGACATATTTTTGTTTAAAATCCAATTAATTAATGTAGAATTCAGTCATTCACAATAATTAGAAATTTAAGAGAAATTAAAGTTACAAATGGGAGCGAAATGCTGCCAAAAGTATTCGCTCCTCTGCCATCCCACTTATGAACTTGAGTGACATCCCATTCTTAATCCATAGGGTTTAATATGATGTCGGCCCACCCTTTCCTGATATAACAGCTTCAACTCTTCTGAAAAGTCTTTCCACAAGGTTTGGGATTGTGTTAGTGGGAATTTTTTATCCTTCTTCCAGCAGCAAATTTGTGATGTTGGACAAGAAGGCCTGGCTCACAGTTTCTGTTCTAATTCATCCACAGGGTTTCTGTCAGGTTGAAGTCAGGAGTCTGTGCAGGCCAGTCAAGTTCTTCCAGACCAAACTCACTCATCCATGTTTTAATGGAGCTTGCTTTGTGCACTGCTGTCAAGTTGGAACAGGAAGGAGCCATCCCCAAACTGTTCCTACAAAGTTGGGAACATGAAATTGTCCAAAGTGTCTTGGTATGCTGAAGCTTTAAGGGTTCCTTTCACTGGAACTAAGGGGCCCAGTCCAACTCTTGAAAAACAACTCCACACCATAATCCCCTCTCCACCAAACTTTACACATGGCACAATGTGCCACAATGGCACAAACAGACAAGTACTGTTCTTTTGGCAACAACCAAACATAGACTGATCCATCAGACTGCCAGATA